AATAATAATAATAATAATAATAATAATAATAATAATAATAATAATAATAATAATAATAATAATAATAATAATAATAAATACTCATATGAATGATATTTATAATTAAAGGATTAATTGAAAAGGATGATTAATTTTTTTAAAAAAAATTAAAAATATGATTATAATTTTGGGTCAGACCTAACATTGCATGTGGTAAAAAAATGTCATCTCAGTACTTATTCTAGCTTAAATTTAAAGATTAAAGTGTCAAAATAGTTCCGACAATTTACATATGACATCTTAGTCTCAGAGTTCATAGAAGTGTCGAAATAGTCGCCAACTATTTTAAAATTGAGCTCTAATTTTCCTCTATAGAGATTATTTTAAACCAAATTTAAGGATGTTGGAGATTATTTTGACACTTCTTTTAAACTCTATAACTAAAATGATCTCATGTATACAGTCAGAGATAATTTTGGCGTTGTACTCTAAAATTAAGTAAAGAAGTATTTCATAATATGTAATATGATGAACACAATAGATCCGTGTTTAGTGTTGTTAATGAGTCGAGCTGAGGCTCGATAGAAATTGGCTCGTGGCTCATTATGTTCGATTTCGAGCCACCCTGACTTGAAATTGAATCGATCATAATACATCTCGTAATTGAAATGAGCTAGCTCAAATTTGAGTTATTTGGATCCGCTCCAGCTTGAAATGGAAATAGCATGGCTCAATTTGAGTTATTTGAATGCTTTCCAACTCAAAATTGGATTATAGCTTGTTAAATTCTATTTTATTTAACATTATATATAATTTTTATAAATAATAATTAAAAAAAACTTTGAATCGAACCTTGCATGGCTCGAACTCGGCTCAACTCATTTATTTCGACCTGATCTTGACCTGAGGAAAATTTCAAATCAATTTTTAAGCCCTATCCTTGTTCTCTAGAAATGAGGAGTAGGTTGGCTGATGTATTAAATGGGTAGCCGGGGAGGGTTACACATTTAATACCTTGGCATCCATCAATTATATATTCACGCAAAAATAGTAAACTAAATTTCTAATATAATGATGTTAATGTTGAGCACAAAAGAAATTAGTTTTAAAATATGGGGGAAATATGACAAATATTTTATAATGTATTCGTTGTAGTAGAAAATAACTTTCATAATTCATCAAATATTAAAATTTATATTAAAACATCTTGTTTTTTTTTCTATTCCACGTTGGAAGGATTTTAATCATGAATAATTAATTATAAATGGATAAGTAGTTATTTTATCTTTATAATTCATGGGGGATTTATTTGGTGATATTTTTTTATCTCGGGATGTGAGTGAGCCGAGCCGGCTCATTAAAGAGCTAGCGAGCTCGAGCTCAAGGCTTGTTGACTCGCAAGCCGGTTCAACCTGTTAGATTTCTATCATGTCAATGTTTTCCTGGTCTTATGCTATTGCGATAGCTCGGATGGCTTTACCAAAGAGCTCCATGGTGATTTCAATCATTTGTGAGCCAACTGGTAAAATCACGAGCAGAGCTCAAGCTCGCCAATTGAGTTCGACCTCGAGCTCGAGCTAATATTTTGACAAATGGGATGAGCTCAGTTCAACGCATTTGCAGCCCTAATTTTATTTTCTTTTAAAAAAAATTATTATAATATGATATTGATTTATTTATTTAAGATGTAAGAGAAAACATTATATTTAATTTTTTTTCTTTTTTCTTAATTGCTTGATTTCACAATCACTGTTAAAGCAACCTAATCATTAATATTTGGAAAATGAATGATTATTTAACCTATTTTTATCAGCTCGACTCTATTGTTATTAAACTTTTAAAAAAAAGATTAGCACAAAAAAAAAAAAACGTGTGGCATGTTATAAATAGGGTCGTTAACGATTCAATTTTGGGCTAAGCTGGGGTCGGCTCTTAGCTCAAAATAAGCTTGATAAAAATTTGATCCAAAATTTTGGTTCTTAGCCCGGCTCGTTTATTTTGATCTAAAATTTGAATCAATTTTTGAGAGAATAACGATCTTCGAATTGAATTCACTATATTCACGGCTCTGACAACACTAATTCTATTAACAATTCGATTTTGAGCCCGTCGGCTTGAAAAAAATTTGATCCTAAATTTTGGCTCATAGCTCCGCTTGTTCATTTCTAACCGAGCCAAAATTCGAATCAATTTTCGAGCGATTAACAAACTTCAAGCTAAGTTCACATCCTTAATTATAAAATAAAGTTTGAAGCGAACCTTCTTTTAATTATTTTTTCAGTAAACTTAAACTTTTAACTTGAGGAAAAAATTGTTCTTTCAATCAAAATATTACCATGACTGCATAGTTGCTCTCCAAATTATTTGGATTTTTTCTTTAATTTGATATTTTTCCTAATTATTGTAATCCCAATTGTAATCCCATCAATAATTGAGAAAAATATCAAATGGAATTAGAATATATATATATATATATATCTTAAGAATTATTTAAAAATATATATGAATATATATTTTTTTCACATTTGAGTAAATTTAATGGTAAACAAAAGCATAGTGTCTGTCTATGCATAACATTGAACTCAGGACTGTTTGATTGACAACATAAGCTCTCAACCAATATATTAAGATGGCTTCCATAGAATTATCGTTCATTCCCTCATGCATCAATTATTTATCAGATTCCATTTCTCTCTCTCTCTCTCTCTCTCTCTCTATAAGAGTATAATATATTGGATCAATGCCATGCATCAATTATTTATGAGACTATAAATGCCCTTCTTCCCCTCTTTAATATATAAAATATGGAGATAGGTTATCACCTTTTAAGGAAATAAAAAATAAAAAAGAAATTTAGGATTTTATTTCGAAATAATACTTTTGCCTAACCCATATCTCTCTGTCTCCTAAATCCTTAAACAGGCCCAATTATTCTCTACTTAGTTTTTTTTAAAAAAATAAATAAAATAAGACAATTTACAAAAAAAATACAAATGAAGTAGCTACTACCTCACCTTTACAAAAAATATTCAAATAATAAATTAAATTATTTAGATAACGTGTTCATAATTATTATAAAGTTTTTCTCTAATTAAATCTAATTAGAGCCAATAGAATATAGAAAGAGAAAAAAACATTGCACATTTCTCTGTTTCCATATTCAAATGAAATCACCTGAACCAACACACACGCATTGATAGATATATATATATTCACAATTGTTGTTAGAAATCATTATAATTGACAGAATCAAGTGAATTTTGTATTCAATTTTAAACCAAAGTTATAAAAATGTTTTTTACATGAATTGTGTAAATGCTCACATTTAAATGGCCATTTAAAAACCATTCATATACTCTGAGCTTCAACTGTTGGGTCACATGCAGAGGACCAAAAAGCCTCACATGGCAAGGGCCCTCAGTACCTTAAATTATTTCTTTAATTGTTAAGCACTAAAGCATTGTTATTCCATTAAACCATTAGATTGTCTAAAAATATACCTTTTATGAATTGATTAACTAAACATCTTAATAGCACATTAGGTATTCATGGTTTATTAAATCGAAAGAAACAAACCTTCAAGATTCAAAGGTTCAACCAGAGTTGAACCGAAGGTTTAAGTGGATGTGTCATGTGGTGATAAATATTTAAATTATTTTAATATAATTTAAATAGCTAAATAATATCTCAATATCATTTATTGATTCAACAAATAATACTTCAATTTAAGATAAAATTTTTAAATATTTTTACTAATATTCTGAATTTAAAAACTTAAAACATGACATTTTCTTAATTTTTAATTAAATATCTTATTTCAATCCATCTCATCATAATCATAAGGCTAATATTGGACAATTTTTTAACGAATCGGTTCTTAAAAACCAAACCGGTTCACCAATTCAATGTCGGTTATATGGAAAAAAAGTTATAAGCTTGAACCAAACTAGTTGAAAAACTTGTTCACGATTAAACAGGACGGTCTAGTCCACTTTGTAAAACCACGATTCAAAGCATGTGATATTTCCATTATAAAGGGAGAAACCTAAGCCTATGTATGTTTCACATAAAAGGAAGAAATAATTCATTATTTTGGTGAATCAATAATAAAAGGCAACATGAGTCGTGCTCCCAATCCCAAATGAGGAGAAATTTGTTTTTGCAACCACTTGATCAACCTTGGCGCCTATAAATTTGCCTCAAATTAAGGGAATGCTAAACTCCTACAACATACATGATTGCAAGAAAATCTTAAAGAGTAATTTTTTAAATTGACTCTTTCGAGCAGAGTTATTTTAGTCCTGGAGTCCATAAAATGATAAAAGTGCTATCAGTCTAAAGATTTTTTAAATAAGAGCAGAAATAAGCTCCAAACTCTTTAGATGGAAAACAAATTGGACATTTTTATAAATTAAGGGTATAAAATGACAACATGTAAATAATAAAAAAAAA